GAAAGAAAAATTCTTTTAAGAAAGAATGTAGTCATTCACAAAGAGTTAAAACTGCTCAAAGAAGAAACTCATATATTTGAAATTATATATGCAAGAAAGATATTATTATATAATTCCATTTACAGAAAGAACTGGTAAACTCCTTAATGAGATAACAATTGTAAATTAATAAAGTCCCTAAGTACAGTATTCCAGGCTGCCACTTGGTGCTGCTGTTACTGGGATAGACATATTTCAGGGGCCTCTTGCCTTAATATTCATCGGCTATTCTATCTATAACCTACAACCAGGCCAAAGAAAAAGTAGTAAATTTGGAAACTGGGGGAAAGAGACACCAATGAACAAAAACATCTTATCTTGGCACTGATACCTTTTCCCTTGAAAAATTAGGGAGAATTAATGGTCCTTGAACCCAGCTGCATTATGGTTCCAAAGCTTCTGCCAAGTTTAGACAACTAGATCAATATTTAAACTCTATATTCTGTACATTCTTTTCTGGGGAACCTGGACTAACATGGTAAAGACTTGCTGTTTCCTCTGCTTTGAACCTCAACTAATAACACATTTATACAGGCATACCTTGTTTGTATTGTGTTTTGCTTTATTGCACTTCACAGATACTGCATGTTTTTACAAACTGAAGGTTTGCAGCATCCCTGTGCTGAGCAAGTCTATTGGCACAATTTTTCCAAGAGCAAAAGTGCTCACTTTGTGTCTGTCATGTTTTGGTCATTGCCACAATATTTCAAAGTTTTTTTATTATTATTGTATCTGTTATGGTGATCTGTGATCACTGATCTTTGATGTTACTATTGTAATTGTTTTGGAGTACCATGAACCATACCCATATAAGACAGAGAACTTAAAAAATTATGTGTGCTCTGACTGCTCCACTGACCGGCCGTTCCCCACCCTCTCCTCCTCTCTTAGGGCCTCCCTATTCCCTAAGAAACAACCATATTGAAATTAGGCCAATTAATAAGCCTATAATGGCCTGTAAGTGTTCAAGAGAAAGGAAGAGTCACACTTGAAATCAAAAGCTACAAATGATTAAGCTTAGGGAGGAAGGCATGTCGAAAGCCAAGGTAGGCCAAAAGCTAGGCCTCTTGTGCCAAACGCTTAGCCAAATTGTGAGTGCAAAGGAAAAATTCTTGAAGGAAATTTAAAGTGCTACTCCAAGGAACACACAAATGATAAGGAAGGAAAATAGTTTTATTGCTGATACAGAAAAAGTTTTTTAGTGGTCTGGATAGAAGATCAAACTAGCCACATTACCTTATGCCAAAGCCTAATCCAGAGCAAGGCCCTAACTCTCTTCAATTTTATGAAGGCTGAGAGAGGCCAGGAAGCTGCAGAAGAAATCTTTGAAGCTAACAGAGGTTGGTTCATAAGGTTTAAGGAAAGCAGCTGCCTCCATTATATAGAAGTATAGGTAAAGGAGCAGGTGCTGATGTAGAAGCTGAGCAAGTTATCCAGAAGGTCACTTATCTAGCTAAGATCACTGATGAAGGTGGTTACACTAAGCAATACATTTTCTTTT